TAGTGTACTCTAAGGTTCACAAGGTCTATTATACCGAGGTATTGAAAAGCCCCCAAGGGTTATTATACAGAAGTACAGATAGATCCTCAAAGTCTATACTATAGCGGTACCCACAAAGTATCAAGCGGAATTATGTAGGGGTACACATAGGTTCCGCAGATCTATACGAGAGGGACAAGCAAAGATCTTTACGGCTTCTCTGATAAGGATAGCCATAGCTCCTTATAGCACATAGCAAGCGGGATCCCAGTCCAGTAATATATGCCTTGAGGATCTATGTGTGCCGCTTACTATAGGGTTTCAGCATGATTCCCGATTTAGAGGCTGGGAGGGCTTGCACGTAACGAACTTTAGACTTTCTGCCAAAGATATTTATAATACTTTCCGAGAAATCAACTACTACACTATAGTACAAAATACGTCAATTTTCTCTAATCCGAACAAAGGAGATATGGTCTCTATCACATTCTTGTCGAACGTCCAGGTTATTTAGACCAATTATGTCACAGAAAATGCAGTTCCCTCCTCTGTATTTCTCGCACAAACTCGATCGTAGTTGTGTCGAATATTCTCCTAAACTTCGCGATCCCTCCAGGAAACATGGCGCACATAACATCGACTTTCCACAAGATATGGAATAGAGACAACACTGATGTTGTGCGGTGAAAATGACGGAGTTCCTGCAAACGACCCCACCGAATAAGAATCAAAATCTAACATCTCACGAAATAAAATCAACGCAATGCTTTTCTCAACGCCTGTAAGTTAGTTAGAGCTCTTATAATGTATGAAGTTCATTGCCATATCCCCATCTTATGAACCTTATTTCATCTTTGCCCTAGCCTATCCCAACTTACCCTAGGAAAGATATTCTCTACCACCACCTGCACTCCAAGAAAATACGCTTTTTTTTGTTGAACTTGTACCTCGGGTTGACTATTTTAGGTTCGGCACGCTATGGTTGATCTTAAAAAGCTTGGTAATGTGTATATCGCACCAAAAAGCTTCAGAACTATTGTACGAAACCAAAAATAGTTTTACCCTGGATACAGGTTCAATAAAAAAAAGCGTAATTTCTTGGACTGTAGGTGGTCGTAGAGTATAACTTTCCTAGGGTAAGTTGGGGTGGGCTAGGACAAAGGTAAAATACGGTTCATAAGATGGGGATATGGCAGTGAGCTTCATACATTATAAGGGTTCAGACTAATACACAGACGTTGAGAAAAGCATTGCGTTGTTTTTGTTTCGTGACATGGTAGATTTAGGTCTTTATCCGGCGGGGCCCTTTGTATCGCTACGCACTCCACTCTCAAAATTAATCATGAATCCTGACTTTCAGCACCTATCACTTAGTCTATATAATCTTTAGAGCTCGCAAAAGTTTTGGCAGCGTTATTCGCAATTTTGTCAATCAATTAACCTCGAGGCATTCTTTGCACGAATAAACATTTGAATGCCTTCTCAATAATGATTTATATACAAGTACCGTAGATCAAGGCGTTCAACTGGGTTCTAAGACTGTACTAGGTTGAAAATAATATTATTCTGGGAGGATGCCTCTATAATTTCAAATAGAAGACATAATGAGTTTTATATCAAATAAAAGATCGTCAAAAATAGGCTTTTTTGATACTAGATAGTAAAGGTTATGAAAGCCTTTTAATATCGAACTTAAGAAACTTTTCGAAATTTTATACTTTTTTGGAGTGGAAAAGTAAGATGCCAGTAATTCAAAGATGGAATGAAATGTTTCTCTCGAATACTTTTACAAGGCTTGATTGAGCTCGTCGAGCTCTACAAACCTGCATTTAATAATTTTTTTCCAAGTCATTTTTTTTTGTGACAAAAACTTCAAAAAGCTATTTAGAAAATCTTAAAAACGTTTAAAAAAACTCACGATCTCACTATTTTTATGTAGAAGAAAAACATTTCATTTTTTGATAAAATTTCCTTTTTTACTTATTTTTACTCCCTCAGGGGCATCAAAATATACTCATTCAGTACAGTTTTTACGCTGCATCGAATGAGTATATTTTCTAGCATCTTACATAAGAATACTAAGGGAAACAGCTGAATTCGGTGTAAAAAATACCACTTTTTTCCGTATGAAAAGAATAAAACATGTAGGTTTTTAGTACATTCTTTAGACAGTTTTCAGTGAATTTTTACTCAACAATTCTTAAACATATTTTTAATGTTTATAGTATTGTAGAGTTTGACGAGCTCTATCAAATCATGTGAGAATATTCGAGAAACATTTCATTGCATTTTTGATTTACTGGCATCTTACTTTTCCACTCCAAAGTGTAAAATTTCGGAAAGTTTCTTAAGTTTGATATAAAAAAGCTTTCATAACCCTTACTATCTAGTATCAAAAAAGCCTATTTTTGACAATCTTTCATTTGATATATCATTATGTCTTCTATTTGAAATTATAGCGATATCCCCTTGGAATAATATTATTTCCAACCTAGTAGATTCGAACTAGTACCCTGTGAACAAATATATAAGCACACAGTCCGTCACATTCGGAATTAAGACCTTAGCTACAGCCAATGAAATAGCGCTTGAGGGCCTAAAGGTATATTTATTATATAGAATTGAAGATCTCAGAGTATCGTCATTATATAGTACTTGACGACTATGAATATCCCCTAAACAACTGATGACTCAATGAACATGAACTACTTAAATATATACCCAGTCGGACTGATACCCGTTTAATTGGTACTGATGCGAACCTGTTCTGAAGGTAGATAAGAATTTTACGAGACTCTCTATGACTCCACTTGACTCCAAGCGACTGAAGTCAGCTGCTTCCCCCTTGGCATCAAGTCGACATGATTGCCTGTAAGCAGAACCTAATGCTGACACTCCGAGTGTTTGTAGATATTCTTAGAAGTTAAAGTACACAAATTTCAAAAAATTTTGATTTCAGCCTGCAAAAAGAAATCCATGCTACTTTATCATTTTAATGCTCACGCGTTGTTCGAACATGCATCTTGCCTAGGAATGCTTTTTCTCTGATCTCATAAATTTAGAAGCATATAAGAGCGTTTCGTGTCTGAATTTCTTTCATTTTTAAGTTCAGAATGCAAGTTTGAGCCCTGTGAGATACGAAAAGTATGAACTTGAACTTTTTAATTAACAGCCATTTCACTTAGGCTACGACCTTTTACGAGAGGAGTTGCTCAGTCGATTTGGTCAAACTTCAATTTTAAATACATATTCGAAAACCTCACCAACTAGTAAGTTTTTTGTCACTGATCGCATTCCGATAGCTCCAATCGTCAGTGAGAAATTCAGTTTCTAATTTTAGGTGCTCTTCTTCAGACCAAGATGCTGACCCACTTCCTGTCTACTAAGAAGTCTACCATTTTTGATTGAGATGATACACAATTTTGGAAATTTCAGGATAGATACCAAATATGTAACCTTACAAAATAAAATTACTCCGAGCTCTAGATGTTGTTTTATGGATGTCATAGATGTAGCTAGTAGCTAAATTTCGGCAATCGATATCTATTGCGTAGCTAAACCAATAAATCTGAAACTTTGAAACTATATATTGGGTCGATGGAACTATCTAAAGATAACAAGAAAACTTTGGGTAGTGGCACAAAGTCCAATATATGAATTTTCTACGAAAACTCATTGTATTTTCGACTAGTTTTTAGATATTTTTGCCGCATTTTTGAGTGAAAAATTAAAAATGGGCCTCATATTCGGAATCAGCACCAAAAGCGGAATCTGACTATGTATATTTTATAGAAAAAAATTTTCTCAAAAAAGTCACCTGAGGGGGACCGCAGGCGAAAATTTTATAAAAAGCACTTGTGGCGGAGTATGCGTTAGTTTTTGTTAAATATTTTTTTCTATGAAATGTACATGTTCAGACTCTGCTTTGATGCTGATTCCGAATATGAGGTCCATTTATAATTTTGACCTCAAAAAGAGGGCAAAAATATGTAAAAGCTAGCCGGATATGCAGCGAATTATCGTAGAAAATTCATATATTGGACCTTGTGCCACTACCAAATGTGTTCTTTTCATCTTTAGATGGTTTCATTGACCCAGTATATGGTTTCAAAGTTTCAGATTTATTGGTTTCGTTACGCAATAGATATCGATTGCCAAAATTTAGCTACTAGCGACATCTATGACTCATTCATAAAGCAACATCTAGAGCTCGGGGTCATTTTATTTTGTAGGATTACTTATTTGGTATCTATCCTGAAATCTTAATCATTGTATATCATCGCATTCAAAAATGCCAGACTTTTTAGTAGATGGGGGGCGGATAAACGTCGTCATTTGGCCGAAAATAAGAAGGCGAATTTTTAAATGACGATTAGAGTTATTGGAATGCGTTTAGGGAGACAAATCTCACTAGTTGGTAGACTTTTGAAATATGTATTTAAAATCGAAATTTGAAAAAGTCAATTGAGCAACATAGGTCGTGGCTTACGTGGAATGACTGTTAAGAAAGATTCAAACATGATGGATTCTTGTTCGTTTCTAAATGCATGAGCTCAATGGAAAATATGCGTGCATAAGATATATGTTTGTATAATCTATTAACATTGAAATGATGTAGTAAAACTCATTTCTATTTGCTTTCCAAAAAAAAATTTTTTGGTTCCCACAGGCTCTATGGCGGGTATGGAGCTATACAATGAGTGATTTCTGTATGTTTGCGAAGTTTGTTTTCATCCAAACCCATCCCGATCCATGTAGTTCATCTCAAGTGAACTTGAAGTTTTTTGATAACTAGAGCCATAGTGTATCACTACAACATATATGAAGCGAATTGATGATTTTACTATTCTTGCAAATATTGGAAAATGGACTCGTGTAGCTGCTAGTGAAGCTTTTTGTTTCCTCTCAATACGTCTTCTTTGTCATGAACACGAGCAATTTCTTTTTCAGTACCTGGAAAAAGTATACCGTTAATAACTGTTCATGGTGGCTCTGAGAGTGAACGCAAAGACGAAAATTTTATGGCGAAACTAAATCTTTCTCAAGTAGCTCTTGAAGCTATTCGGACAAAATTTGAAGAACCAATATCGATAATCGTCTATACCGGTGAGATGGGTGTCGGCAAGAGCAAATTTGCATCGGTGTCTGCTTGTTGTCTCATGACGAGAAAACCTACACAATTACCAGAGCTTTTTAAGAGTGGAGGTGGTGGTAATAGTGTTACACAAGGAATTTGGATGTGGTCAGAGCCGCTGCCTAATCCCTATGGTAAAGGGTCTGTTATGCTACTTGATTGTGAAGGTAAAGAGACTCATTTGAACAAACTTCGACTTATCCTCATGCTTTTCCTTATAAGGACCTATCTTTCATGTAGCATTACCATCACTCTAAATTAGTGACCTTTAGGATTGAACAAAACATGCTGATTGTTTAGAATCAGTCACAAAATTTGTGCAGAAAATGTAATTTAGATTGTGACGTAAATATCGAACATGTTCATTATCTATATTGTGGGTGTGAGTTCGGTTGATTGTTATTGCGAATTAGGCTATGCAAATAGGTGGCTGTCGGTGTGAAGGTAAGTTTATTAATGTTACTGTGACTATGGGTGTAAGTAGTTGAGACTAATACATTCATACTTACGCTCACAGTCACGGTCACAGCCAAATCCATGTTCTACTCACATCACACCCGACGTCCATCCCAACAATAGCGTCAGTCGGGTCCAAGGTTTTTTGAACCAGAACCCGAATTCAAAACCTCGATTAATTAGAATCTTTCGGATCCGGACTTGATTAGTTAAATCATTGAGATCTATACATGTTTTTGTCTGATCTCTGGAGCATTGTAAAGGTTTCATACGATCATATGATGCGTTATATGTTTCCGGGAAACTCCTTGATTTTTCCGACACTGATCGAATTCTGGGACACATGTTCAGTTTCCCTCGAAAGTATCCATGGAAATAATAGATACGATGGGCATAATGGACATAAGCGTCGTATTGCATATGATCATCAAAATGTATCGAGCTCTTACATGTATTCAAAATGCTTGAATTCTAAAAAAATACGAAAGATATCACATCGTATCAGGTGTGGATACGAAGGCTCAGACAATATCACACCAAGTGTTGGTGTGAAGAAAGGCATCTTGCGGTGAGAGTCTCGCACAATATTGCACCAAGTGTAAGTAGGAATAGCAAGTTACGAGTTCCCAGGTAACTGGTAACCGAGTAGTTCCCAGTTACTAGATAACTGGGAACGGGCATGCAGCTATCCTTGGGCCCTCAAGACCTGCTATAGGGGTGTACTGTTGGGTCCTCAAGGCCTACTACAGAAGCCTACATATTGGTCCTCAAGGATTACTGTTTTCTCACATCCTAGCGACCTCAGCTACAGCACTCCTTGTTTAACTGTTACAAAACATAGACCAATCAGATTTCAGGAAGCATTTTCTCTCTTATTGTCAAGCAACACAGGCATGTTCGACCTGATCATGGGGTTATCGGGGATGCTCTATTGATTGATGGGTATATGTAGAAGTTTCTACCGAGTGGAACACGGCGAAATACAGCCAGAGCACTTCGCCTTTAAGGTGCAACGGTAACCTGCTGTAGAAGGTTTTGAGGAGCCAAGACTAGTCCTAATAGTAGACCTTGAGGACCCAAGGGTACCATGTATAATAATCCAGTTACCGTTCCCGGGAAAGCGGCGTCTGAACCGTTATTAGTTGGCGGATAACTGGTAACGGTGGCTTCCCACCCCCAGATGTGAGTGCGAAGAAATGAGTTTCAGAGAAGTACTCACACAACATCGGGGCCGATGTGAATGCGTAAAATGGAGTTGCACAGATCAGTGGCAGGTTTAGGAGGAAGGCTTGGGGTGATCGCTCCATTCGAAGAAAAACTTTTTTTGATTTTACCAGCAAAAAATACTGAAAAATAGAGTGCATACGACTACTAATCAACTTCAAAACTCGTTTTTTGATCAAAATCACTCCATATCTATCAAATCACCGTGTATCAAAAAAATCCTAGATCCGCCACTGACATAGAGAAGAGTTCACACGACATCGCACCACATGTGGGTACGGAGAAGGAGTTTCACCGAAAAGGACTCATGCAACATCGTGCCACGTGTGCGCTGAAAAAAAGGGATTTCGCGGACAAACGCTCACAATACATCGTACGATGCCATCCATTATGTGCATTATGTTCATTATGTTCATTATGGCCACTGTTAATATCTTACAGCATTCCTTACAGTAAAATAAGTTTCCCAGAAACTAATACAACGCATCAAAACGTCAATAAGTAAAACTCTAAAAATCGACAAACCTCCAATTTTGTAAGATTTAGCCATTCATAACTTAAATACATTTTACTACGCAATATCAGCAAACTTTTTCATAAAAGGTTAACTTTATATGCGATTTTTTCTGAAAGAATTACTTTTTAATCCCAGTGAAAAATTTTAGGGATTTTCAATCGGATTTTTCTGCAACAAAATCAAAATTAAAATCGATTGATAATCTTGATTATTTTTGACTATGACTTAACAAATATCTATTATTGTTACTTATCCAGTATGAAATTTTTTGATTAGAATAGGATTATTTTGCAGCAAAATCAAAATTATCAATCGATTAATAATTTCGATTGTGTGACAGAATAATCCGATTTTAATCAGAAAATTTAGTACTGGATAAGTAATAATAACAAATATTAGTTAAGTCATAGTAAAAAATAATCAAGATTATTAATCGATTTTAATTTTGATTTTGTTGCAAAAACATCCGATTGAAAATCCCTAAAATTTTTCACTGGGATTCTGTTTAAAAATTTAAATTTTTGAAAAGCTTTCGAAAAGACCTGAAGAAAAGACGTCATGATAATATAATATTAACGATTCAGCGCGGTTTCATGGGTCCTTTTAAACAGTAAACGTTGTACATTTGCTTCATTATTTTTTGAAAATTCATTTCAAAAATACTAACCGTTCTCGTATTTTAAGATGCATAATAGGTTTTCATATTACAATCGTAATGGGTTTCGCTGCTTTTCTTTTCTACCTTTATGCTTGAATTGCCTGTTTGTTGTAATCAGTGAATAAATATCCGAATAAATTCCAAAATAGATTATTATTATCATGACTGTTTCTTTTCTATCCAAATTCGGTAAGTAAAAAGCCTTGAACTCGAATCTGGTCAATAAAGAGTGTATGGACTCAACGAGCTCCATCCAGGCTTACCAAATCTTCCGAAATAACAGGAAGAATTCGGAATTTTAAGATTTTTCTGAAGGCCTTCGGAGTTTCCGAAGTCTTCCGAATTCGACTTTTTTCCGGTTTTCTTCCGAATTCTGAGATTTTCTAGATTTTTCAATACCATAAGATTTGTTGGTCATTAGCATGCCATCTCTTTTCTTACAGAACAACTGGAGAGTTATTGTTTTAAAGTAGATGCAGTACTATAATGTTTATATTTTATCTTGAATCATTAATCTGATAGATTATGAACTACTGTCGGCGTCAGAATTAAATAGGGGTGGATGCAGAACGAATATCTCGAGAACGACAGTAGCTAGCGATCTATGGTTTTCCCCAACTGAAAGAGTTGAGGTCGGGACGTCTTTTTCTCGGACAATGTATAAGATGAAATCCTTTTAAAATTATTGATGTTCCAAAAACATGCAAAAGAATGTATGAAAATGACCTGACATCTAGATGAAATTAAGATTTTGACCTTTGAATTAGATACAGAAACTTGAGCTCTATAATTCAAGATAGAATGTACTTCCTTACTTTTCATTATATTTTCACCGAAATGTTACGCTACTATGATAAAATGTACGAAAGTTTTGTAAAAAGATTAGCAAAATTCTCTATAATTTGTCCACGTAAATACATAATTCTATTTGCTCATCGTTAGAATATAAGAAAAGAATCATTTGCATTGTATCTTGAACTATGGATCGGAAGCTCCTCTATGTATATCTCGGATCAAAATCAAAGTTTCATCGAGATGTCAGGTTATTTTCATACATTCTTTTGCATACTTTTGGAACATGATTAATTTTAAAAAGATTTCGTCTTATACATTATCAGAGAAAAAGACTTACCGACTTCTACTCTTTCAGGTAGTGAAAACCGCAGATCGCTAGCTACTGCCCTTCTCGATATATTCGTTCTATACCCATCCCTATTTAATTCTGGCGCCGACAATAAATTGAGTATCTAATAGTTAGAAAAGTAATGGAAAAAATAGATTTGCTCTTGGGAAAGGTGCATTGAAAGTTCGAGAGAAGGTGGTACTTAACTTAATACTTTTCAAGTTTTACATTTAATAACCGACAACGAATCTAGTGGTTTACATGTGAGTATTAGTTCAACGGAAGAAGATGAACGAGAACTCCTCGTTGCAAGAAGTGAAAAATGATAATTCAAAAGCTCGATGTAAAGCATGTTTGAAGTCCTTCAGTGTTCTATACATTAGTAAAGAATCTTTTAAAAAAATATGAAATTGCTTTTCATAAAACCTATGCCATATACTTTTCGAACAAATCAATAAATATTGTTCTTTTATCTTCGTCGAGTGAGTCAGAAGAGTCTGAGTGACAGAATCCCCATTTCTGTACAGTATAGTTCGGCAAAATTTGTTGAAAACTACAGCAACAAGTCATAAGTCCGACAAAAGTATACTTTTTATTGATCCTAATTAGTTTTATTGTAAACAAGCAGTTTGAACTGCACAATATTTGAGTGTGTCTACATATGTAGATAGCTTTTGAAATTATTTTCTCCATGGCGTTCATTTTCAAGAACCTTATTAGTTTTAATAGGAAAACAATTGTTCTATTGTTTTTGTCCTATGAGTAAATTCTATAAGAATAAATAATGATACACGTAGGCAGTATTTTCCTCACAGTAAAACAGTGAGGTTATACTCCCAAATCTTTAAAAAATTATTTCGGATTCTTTTCCTAATCTTTTGAAAAAAATTTAGAATTTTCCAAATTTCAGTATACAAATTACCGACTATTAACTCTTTAATCTGGCAACGCTGGCCCTATCCAACACCCATCACCTACTATTATGTTTCACACTAACCATCCACAACCATATAGATACATATACTTCATATACCATGTCCACATCCTTGTAAATTGAAATATGTATACAGCAGTCTTCGATATTTTCATAGGAACCTTCGTTAATATTACACGTAAACTTTATATTTTATGCGCAGGAATGGGTTCATTTAACGAGCATCTTGGTGCCAACTTATATCTTTTCTGCATGATAATCAGCACATCGTTCGTGATCATTCTGAATTCACCAAGAGTGGCGGCTAAACAAAGTGAACGACTATATCATGCTCTATTGCGGTATCAACAAATGAAAGCGTGTCAACAGCATGTGCTTCCTAATGTTTGGTTGCTTCTGCATGCGCCAGAGTACGTGAAGAGTGGTGATAATGGAGACATCATTATAGACAAATCGGAATGGCTTGAAAGCGCATTCGCCATTGATCCTAACAGTCGGCAACAAATGTCGAACACAGAACTACAATCCATCCAAGATCGTTTTAGCTTCATCAATCGTATGCTACCCTATAAAAACGTTGTCAAAATAGGCTATCTTCCCGATTCACTGAAAGACAATAATCCGAAGAAAGACATGTGGGGGCTTTTAAGAGAACCCAACTGTGCACAGTACTTTCAAGCGGTACAGAATGCTCTTAACGCATTGTTGTCAAGCGGTGGCAAAGTAATACCTGGGTCTGGTAACGACAATCTTTACATTCGGGCAGATGAGCTGGTTGACTTTATGCAGAAACTCATTGACATGATTAATAATGATAAAATGCCCAACCCAGATTCACTGATCGAACGGTTTTTACGCTCGCGCTTTTTGACTGAAATAGCATGTAAGGAAAAAGAGAACTTCGAATCATCGTTTTGCACATTTGCATCTGAAACTATCTGCGCGTCCATAAGTAAGAAGGACAGAATTGAGACAGCAAAAGAAAAGATCGAGAACGATAAGAAAATGGCGACTGAACACGAGCGTCTATTGAATCACGCTCTGAGTTCGATGATTCGTCGGGCTCGCTGTGAGATTTTTGGTTTCGATCAAGCAGTCGACTCCCAGGATTATAGAGATGCGTCAGACCGTAAGAAAGCTAGTGAGGCCCTACCCGTAACGATTCGAAATGAAATTGAAGCAATAGAGAAAGCATTGAAAGAGTTCTCTAAACCGGAAAATTTGGTAAGAAGTACGCGGCTCGCTAAACAGGAAGAAGTTAATCAGAAAAAAATTCAACAGCTCGAAGAAATGACGAAGAAAATTGAATTAGATGCGCAACGCCTAGAAACAGAGCGTCAGGAAGCAGCGCGCCAAGAGGCTGCCCGTCAGGAAGCACTGCGACAGGAAGCTGCTCGGGTGAAATCGATGCGTCAAGAAGCAATGCAACAGGAAGCTGCCCGTCTCGAAACAATACGACAGGAGGCTGCCCGTCTGGAGGCATTATGACAGGATGCAGCACGTCAAGAACAGGCAAATCGAGAGTATTGGTTTAACATGACAAATACACGTATGCAAGAACTTACAGATCGAGAAAATGATTTTAGAGAATATGTCGGGAAAAGGGAAGCGGCAATCGAGAGAAAGCATCGAGAATTCGAGCGGACGCAGCGAGAGCAGTCACGTGCACGAAGTAAGAGTAAACAAGTTGAACGCTCACGCTCACGCAGTGCAAGCAGGAGACGTTCTCAGAGTTCCTGTGAGAAAGTGCTAATTAAATGTCCAAGGTGTAGTTTTGAAGAATATAAAAGTTTCCAGCACAAAGATGAAGGGGAAACATGTGGTTACTTTGAATACAGTGGGAATACTGCAATTTGCGCAACCTGCGGCGGTCGGAAACCCATCAAGAACTTACGTTGTAGCTGTCGTGATTGTGGGCATAAATTTAAATTTGGAGAGAATTCTTGATGCTTGGCTCTTTAATTTCTGCTAGACTTACACTCTCAGTTTTGTACCTGTCTTTTGGTTTTGCATGGATAGTGGCTGTACCATCTCGTTCTAAATAAAAGAATAATGTTTTGCCTTAGTTATGCAGAAAAGATGTAGAATATCGAGGTGTAAGTATGGGCGTCCGTGGCGTTAATCTGGGTGTGGGTGAGGTGTGGGTGTGGGTGAGGGTGGTTGTGGCGTGGGTGTGAGTGGGTGGGTATGGGTGTGGGTGGATGTGGGGTGGGTGTGGGTGGGTGTGGGGTGGGTGAAGGTTTGGGTGTGAGTATTGGTGTGAGTGTGGGTTGGGTGTGAGTGTGAGTGGGTGCGGGTGAGTTTGGACCTGTAGTTGTCGTTTGGTATGGATCTTTGTGATAATTGAACGAGTAACGAATTCACAGACCTATATTAGCAATCACATCCCCACTCTTCCTATGGCTTGAGTCAAGGACAGAAGGAAACGAAATTAGTTCGTATGGTTTCTCTGATAAGGGTGTGAGTGTGGGTGTGAGTGTGGGTGTGAGTGTGAGTGTAGGGTGTGGGTGTGGGTGTGAGTGTGGATGTGGGGTGTGGCTGTGGGGTGTGGCTGTGGGGTGTGGCTGCGGGGTGTGGCTGTGGGGTGTGGCTTTGGGCGTGGGGTGTGGGTGAGTGTGGACTGGGTGTTGGTGTGGGAGCGTGTGAATATCGATGTGTATGTTTGCGTTAGTCAGCATAAAAGAGGAACAACGCCCCATACCCACACCCCACAGCCACACCCCATACCCACACTCACACCCCACGCACACCCACACCCCACACCCACACCCCCCACCCCCCCCCCCCCCCCCCCCCCCCCCCCCCCCCCCACCCCCCCCCCCCCCACCCCCC